GTCAGGGGTGCCCGCGCTAGAGGTGAGGAGGTGCAGCTGGGCCCCGTCAGGGGTGCCCGCGCTAGGAGGTGAGGAGGTGCAGCTGGGACCCATCAGTCATGCTCACACTAGCAGTCAAGGAAGGACCCAGAAATCATTATTTCAGAGCTTGTTGCTATCATGGCCCTAATTTGTGAGCGACTTGTACTGCTCAGTTTTCTGTATTCATGTTCTTTTAGAAAAGGGGGGCAAAAAAAAGAAGTGATTAAATGTATTTCAATAGATTATACTCTCATATAGTTCAAACATTTAAAAAGCTTACAGAGGTGCACCGTCAGAAAGTTCCCACCGTGTCTCCCGTGTGCGCAGCTCTCTGCTCCCTCCCTGAGAGAGTTTGCCTGTTAAGTTTCTTGCGTATCTTTCTGGAGATACTCTTGCATACATATCAGTGTTTGTCCTATTTCACACAGTCGTCGGCATACTGCTCACACTCTTCTGCACGTCACTGCTTTCTCTGTGTACAGATTTTGTCACCAGTTGAGTAGTGACGTTCCAAGTGTCCAAGTGTGTGGAAAGAAAGCGGTTGTGCCAAAAGTCGCTTCTTAGCCCTGAGAAAGGAGCACATTCTGCGTGTCTGCATTTGTGTGTGTGTATTTTGATCTTAAGTTATAAGACACCTGATTCTTGTCTCGACTAGAGCCAGCACTCCAAAGAATATCAGTTATTTTATTTATTAGTGGTGATGCAGTGGTGAAGTGTTCGGCTGCTCACCAAAATGTCGGCAGTTCAAATCCACCAACCGCTCCTTGGAAACCCTATGAGGCAGTTTACTCTGTCCCGTAGGGTCGCTCTGAGTCAGAATCAATTCTATGGCAATGGGTTTGGTTTTTGGTTTGGTTTGGTTTGGCAATTGATGGAAGCACGTAATTTTTAAGATTAAGTTATCATTGACTTTTTTGTTTTGTTTTGTAGCTTGCCATCCGAAGAGCTACGCTAAATAGATCTTTTACTCCGGTCTTTCTGGGAAGTGCCTTGAGGAACAAAGGAGTTCAGCCTCTTTTAGACGCTGTTTTAGAATACCTCCCAAATCCATCGGAAGTCCAGAATTTTGCTATTCTCAATCAGGACGAGTGAGTCTTCAAGATGCTTTAACACTTACGTCTTATAAAGGAATTTAGGAATGGTCCTTGTAGTTAATGTTGTATTTGTGGTTCTTGTTTTTCTTATCTACAAAAGTCAATCAGGGTTTTTATTTAGGTAACAGTTTTTGCATACAGAAGATGTTTATTATACTGGTCACCATATCATATACTATATTTGTGAGGTGAAAGTATGATTTGTTGGAACCAGCCATTTTCAGTAGTATTTAAAAAAAAAAAAAAAGCCTCAATATACAAAGTGTTTTTTATCTGTCGCTGATTATTTTCTTTCTGTGGTTTTCCATCTGCTCTGAGCCTGTCACTGGCTAGTAGCAAAGCCCTGAGAACTTCTTCTTATCCATCTCTTTCAGTGAAACTTTACTTGCTTGAGGTCAAAAATATTTAGCACGTTTTCTCAGTTATTACTCTTTGATGAAATAAGTTGATGTAAAAGAAATATCAAATACTGTATCTCATAAGTTTATATTTCATTTATTTTAAGTGACTCAAAAGAGAAAACCAAAATCTTGATGAACTCTGAAAGAGACAACTCCCACCCATTTGTAGGCCTGGCTTTTAAGCTGGAGGTAGGTTGCTTTCTAATACATGTAACTATTATAAATAGAAGTTTCTTTTAGAATTTATCCCTATTACAAGTGATTCGGTGCCCCTAAGGAAAGATTTGGAAAATAGGAAAAGTGGAAAGAACAGATAAAGAGTTCTTGAATCCAAACCCTCAGATGACAGTTCCCTGTTATTAGGTGTGTGTCCTCCCAGCCTCTTGTCTTTGCAGTTTTAAAATATAAATATTTACATAAATCATACCACATGTGTAATATTTACATAAATCATAGTACACGTGTAATATTTACATAAATCATAGTACACGTGT